CTGCAACAATTTATTCATTTGGGCCTCGTCGAGGCGCAGTAGGGCTGACCGCTAATTACAATCTCATTGCCAAAGAGCAGAAACTAATTAGCTTGTTTATCGAGTTCGTGTGGCAGCCATCGAAGTTACTCAATATTAATTTTCAGGCTTATCCCATTGCCCTCCGTGTTCTATCTCTCCCTCTGATTGCCAATTATTGAATTGTTTTTCTAGCTGGGAATTCTAGCCTCATTTACCGCACATGCTGACCATTCAGCGAGAGCCCTCAAGTGTGCCATGAAATAATTAAAACTTTGGGGCCTCCGAAAAGTGAAAAGAAGGAGCGTAGAAAAGATATAAAAATTGGTACAAGCTGACTCGCATTTGCCCTGGCTGATGATGAGTCCCTACAAATTGAATGATGAACGTAAAACCAAGAAAATGGTTGAGTATTTGGAAGGGAACTGAAGAGTAGTTGATTCTTTTGTGAGGTACTTGCGTTTTAATTTGGATTACATTCTGGAACAATAATTGCAATTCGTAAATTTATCTCCTACGATTATTTTAAATTAATATTGCATTTACGTTATTATTTTAACCTCAGACCGCAACCACTAATTGAATAAATCGTATTTAGCGGGAAAGGAAAAATTTATCGCTGGTTATTAGCAACTTAATTTGTTAATTCTTAAATTATTTTTAAACTTACGATCATAATATGTGTTGTATCGTTGGTTGTTAAAATCAAATTGACTATACTTTGTATAAATATGGATTCTATTGTAGGGTTGTAATGTCAAACTTTTGTGGTCAGCATTATAGTATTATGTTAGTTGAACTATTCTTTAGTTTTATATCAGCTTAAGGAATGTCCATTGCAATTGAGATACATCTCTGGCCAACTCAATAAAATTCCGCCGCCGACACCCTGCCGTTTTACTTGGTGGGGGAAATTTAAGCGTAACCCAAAAACCGTCACCACAAACACTTACGAACTCGCTTCGGTTTGGTTTCGGTCGGTTTGGTAATGGCCGCAGCAGGTTGGACGATAATGGGGAGGTGTGCTTTTGCACATTCTTTCAGTTATGGTCTTCTATGCGCCGTTGTTGTTTTTCAGTTTTTCTTTCGACCAGCTATTTTACCAATGTGCTGAAAATCAAGCGGTCGAGTCGTAAACATTTTTTTAATTCATTCCCATCCAACACTTGGAAAGAAACCAAGAATGTTGGCCATCAACCACACACACACACACACACGCGCCCTTACGCTCACACCTACACTTAAAAAGGGAAGGCCATTAAACAGCTGCAGGGGCAGTATTTAAACACCTAAAGAAATATTCTTTTTATACGTTTTTATTTTAAACTTGTCTTAGATTTATTATTTTCCGTTTTTTTCTTCTTAAATTTTAGTGCAGTTTTTTATGACTTAAAAATTTATATTAAATATTATCGTATCGATTTAACATTCAAAAATTGTAAATGAGAAAGGAAGTGTCTAAACTTGACGTTAACTATTTATTTAAAGGCCGGATTTTCCTCTCCCCAACTCGCATATAAAAAAACACAGCAATTTTGTTTGAATAAGGAAAAGTTAATTTTATAAAAATGGGAGTTATAAACCTTTTATTGTAATCAATATTTATTTGAGAATAAGTAAAATTGGTATATTGGTATATATACAAATGTTTAAAAATTTCTTCTTACTTAGGTTTTTTCATGTGTAGAAAAGGAGCAGCCGATGGAGCTGGATTTTAGCAGCTGTAGTCTGGCCTGGCTGGCGTGTTGAGTGTTTGCGTTTTTCAAATTGTGTGAAATTATTTTTTCCTGCCTTTGTTTTTATGGCGCCTGAAATTATGCTTATTTCGCCATTTCTGCTTAGCTCTTAAAGAAATTAAAAAAAGAAGCAGCAGCTCGAAAACCCCCAAGTGAAAGTGAAGAACAAGAAAACCACGAGGTAGCAAGGACCTTGAGTGTTCCATTGTGTGCGTGCGTCTAAGTGTGTATTGGTGTGTGCCTTTCGCTTTGGCGCCTTTGCCGTAGACGACTTGGTTTTTGTTTTCGATTCTCCAAGCCCTAAGCGAAAACAAAACCAAAAGCACTGTGTTCTCTAAAACACTCGCTTGTCTTCGCCTAATGCTCAAGGATGAAAAGGATAGGAGTTCCCATGCCAATAGGAATTAAATGGCTAGGCTCCGAAATTGCCCTTTAAATTTTGCCCCCGATTGGCTGGATATCCAGCTGATATTTAATTCAGTATTTATCCTGGATGCTTTGATTTCTCTGGCCACATTTTGATTACTTCGACAGCAACTGGCAGGACTGTATATTTTTCCCCATTTTTTATGTTTGACAGCCAACTGTGGCCGAGCCTGACACTTCGACAGACAGTCGGACTGTCGGACAGAGGGAAGAACTGGGGCTATTTTCAAATTGACAAGAACAGGAAGAGCCTGGGGTGCAGGGAGGGAATTCACGCCAATGAGGGAATATCAAAAACTCATTACAATCACTTCTGACGTAAATGTGCCCACCAAAAATAAACCTAATGGCCCACAAGAATGGCCAAAAGAAGACGATGCGGCCTAGAACAGGGTGACTGGGACAGCGGAGCAGCATTAATTAATGTTCACCTATTCACATTTCGGCGTCGAATCTTAATTAAAACTTTAATAGCTTTTTAAGGAAGAACAGAAAAAACAATTATATTTGCAAAAAACTTGACAAGATTTTCCATCAATCTTAATGTATTTAATATGTGTACATATATAAAATATATGAATCGCCAAATTGTTTTTCTCTGTCTCATTTGTCTAGGCAATTTGTGTCTATAAAGCGCACAATAAAAATCGACATTAAAAGGCTGCCATTCAAATAAATATGGCCTTGTGCTAAACGAATCGTTAACAAAAACTGGAAGCAAAAAAAATTGGGCAGCAAAAAAAGCGTGAAAAAAGCAGGGGGAGAACAAAATGAAAAGCGAAACACTTTTTCAAAATAATTTCACACAATTAAAGTGAAAAGCCATACGCAGACGTCTATTGTCGTGAACAATGGCCAAGTAGAGATGAGGGTTGGTTGAAGGAGAGTCGGTCGATTTATTTGTAGAGTGCAAATTATATTTGAAATACACACACCGAAATATGTGTATAAGTGTACTGAACAAATTGGTGCAACAAAAACGCTTACACAAACGAATCAGGAGGAATTTGATTTCATTTCACTGGCACTTTTAATTTGTTTTATTTCCCTAACCATTTGGGAGGCACCCAATTTAAGTACTTTTGAAGGCTTCCGGGAAGATCACATTTTTAATAACTGCCTTTAAGAGCGTAAAATGCGCACTGCCAGAGTTTTCCTTTTGAGCCGAAAAGTAGTCCTAACAATGCGATGTGCCATAAAAATGCTGCCTAAGTAAGTTCCACTGATATGGCTAACTTCATTTGTATTTCCGCCTCTCCAAGTACTTCCGTCGGTTGCCAGGCTCGAACTCAAGATGGTAGAGCCAGTTGGCCAAGAGGATTTGGCAGCAGGGCGGCATACATATTTACATTTGAACGGAGGACCCTGTCTTTGTACAGACGTATAGTTTATGGGCAGCTGGCTAAGCCCGGTTGGCTTATTTATGGGGTCCGGGGTACGTGTTTTATAGTATTTTATTTGTCCCTGCATATTTCATAAATTACGTGGTAATCTGCGTGTAATTGCCCTCCCTCCCCCTCACGATAGAAATGCATAATTACGCTCATTGTTTGAACAATCAGGCCGGGCCCAGGCACTCCATAACTCTTCTTCGATTGGCCCAGATGGATCGCCCCGAGCCATCGCAAACACTCATAATTGTGGGCCACCTTGGGCCTTCAATTGCTCCACCCCTGGCCTCTGGATTACAACTCTTCCCGGCACATGTTCGGGAAAACAAATTGCGCTGTTGACCTTCGGTTGGTTGGCAAAAGTTCTGCCTTTGACTCAATTGAATTCCACAAAGGGGCACAGACAACTGCTTCAGCATATTTATAGGCATTATTTCGGTACTCAAGGATTTCCAGTCAACGATTTTGGCTCGTTAGTGAACTGACTTCGCCGTGGCCGCTGTTGTCCTGTTGGCCGCAGATTTATGCCGCTGCCAAAACTTTTTTAACAACATCCGAAATTTACGATTTTCGGAACACGCACACTGAGCGAAGCAAAGTTATTTTGGCCGGGGCGGAGGAAATGGTTAACTAGTCTGGCCTTTGTATCTCCATCTTCGGGCTGTTGTTTGTCCTGCCTCGGATCTGTTTTGATTTAGTAATGGCTGGCGGACATTTAATTAGTGTCGCCAGAAAGTCTGCAGGCCAGGTCCCGATAAATAAGCCGACTATTAGATGACAGACATCAACTATTGTTCGAACTTTATCTTTATAATGAGCTCGGCCACCTTTAACTGGCAGTGAAGTCATCAGTCTCATCAACCATCAGCTTTCGGTGGCTACATCTCACTTTGTGGGCCACAAAATAAAATTTGAATATGTAATGTGCCCCTCGAGAGAATTGGAAATGTTAATCGCAAGCCAAACAAAAGCTTACATTTGGCTACATCGATTCTGGTGCTGACAATCATGTTAATGAGGCTGTCGCTGTCAATTAGGAACGAATCTCCAGGGCACCTGTGGCGACATAAAACGCTGAACTCAGTGTCACAGAGCTATCCATATTTATTGAGAACTGTTGCCGATTTCAATAAATCTTTGGGGTTACTCAAAATGAATCAATTTAAAGTTGACAAGTGTCAAATGCCGAGTAGGGTGTTATATTTGTGCTGATATTTAATTTGCCATTTATCATTTGTAGAAATTGTAGAAGGAATATTAAGGCACATTTCAAAATATTGTCGTTCTAAGAAATCATACATTTTTAGTAAAAAATACATATTCTTATTAACTAATTGATCTCGAAAGCTTCTTGAAGTTATCTTAAGAAAAAATCCATTAAAACATAATCCCCCATTTAGAAACAAATACTATGTGCATCAATTTTTTTTATTCGGTAAATAAAATTTAAATAAATAAATATTGAGCTAGTAGTGAATGTGGAATTAATGGTTTATGTCTTGCACAAAAATCCAAGGCCGATCACCTTTTCGCACTTTTGGACCTTGGTTTCGGTGGATTCGCCCGAGTCGTTGTCGTTGTCGTTCGATGGTGGTGGTGGTGGTGGTGGAGGTGGTGGGGGTGGGAAGTACGGGAAGGGTGGATAGTAGTGTGGAGGATAGGGTGGGTATTGAGGTTTCGGAGGGGGCTTCACGGGAGGAGACGGCGGCTTAGGATTTCCGCCGTGGCCACCATCGTGTCCGCCATGTCCACCATCGTGTCCGCCATGTCCACCATCGTGTCCGCTATGTCCACCATCGTGTCCTCCATGTCCACCGTCGTGTCCTCCATGTCCACCGTCGTGTCCGCCATGTCCACCGTCATGTCCGCCGTGTCCACCGTCGTGTCCTCCATGATGTCCGCCATGACCACCGGGGTATGGATACGGTGGAGGAGGATAATAGCCGGGGTATGGGTATGGCGGGTATTGTGGGTAGTGATGGTGATACTGGTAGGGCGGGTACGGGTAGGGGTACGGATAGGGATTGGGCTTCTTCTTCTTCTTCTTATTGCTGTTGCTGTTGGAGTTGCTGTTGGAAGAGCTACTCGAGGATTGGGGGAAGGTCACCACCAGATTCCCGCTGCTGCCTTCGCTGCCGAAGAGCTTGCGCCAGGTCGAGGGATTCGCCTCCGCGTCGTTCTCCTCAACGCTGTTCAGCTCCTGGCTGTTTTCCAGCTGCGATTCCTGATCGAGGATCTCCTCCTGGGGACGGGCCATGGCCAGGGCTCCGCAGAGCGCCAGGCACAGGCAGAGTACCAACTTGGTGCTCATTGTGGGAAAGGGGTTCACTTCGAACTGATTGACAGATGGCATCACATGCGCTTTTATACTGATCCCATTCGCAAAAAGAAATGCGATGGCACCTTTTGAATTATTGCCAATAAACATTAACCCAGTTTGCAAACATTTTCAAAAGATCTTCTTAAAAAAAAAGACTAAGCTTTTGCAAGAAAAATGTTTAGTCACCGCTCCAGCTGTTTGCATGTAAATTAGTTAAGCTATTAAAATCAGCTCAGAACACGCCCAACAAGTTAATAGCTTTTATTTGCTTAGATCGGTATTATGGATAAACTAACTGGTATAACGGTTCATGCTTGGAAGGGCTATTTTTCTTTTTTATAGCCAAAAACCACAGCTGGCTTCTATTTAAATATGCGGAGTAATAAAACGATTAAATCTTTTTAATACTATTCGGCAAATGCCGGAATGAATCTACTTCACAGGTGCCGAGCGATCAACGGAATCTTGTTAAATTGGGGGAATCTTGGTGGAAAATATTAATGGGAAACAAAACAGACTTATATGATCAATTCTTTTTCTTCAAGAAATGGTTACAACAATTAGCAAAAATAAAAATACAAGTAATTGTGAAGGTACTTTAAGGTATTGGTGTTATTATTCTCTCATGCTTAACATTTTCTTAATTTTTTGTATATTAAACAAGTTTTACTCATGGAGATATATCCCACCATAGAACATTTATTGATTCTCTACCACATTTTTCTGAATATTTTCTTCCTACAAATTTATTAACTTCGGGATAAATCGCTTAGGCACAAAAATTGACTTTAATTTATTATCATTCAACCGACAAATTGGATCCATTTATTACAATTTAGATAAGACTTTGCGTTTGGAATATAAAAGTTGGGCCAACCAACAGTGCCTGTCGTAGTCTTAAATACACCTCAGGGACTAAGGAGGCCTAACTTAGTTTTTCGCCATGTTAGTCGCTTTGATTGGACTAACTCTGCTGCTGCAAGTCAATTCGATAGCAGGACAAGGATACCAAGTCTATGGATCACCTGGTGTACAGGTTATATACCCGAGCTCGTCCAATGTTCAAGTCTTGGGCTCAAGACCATTCTTTCGACGCGGGATATGGGAAATTGTGAGAAACCTTACGATTACTGCGAACGCAACCAGTCAGGACTTCCAGTTTGGCAGTTCTTTGGGCAACGGGAACATTGCACTGTCAAATAACCAGAATTCCGGCAACGCACCTCTTCGGAATCTTCTAAGAAACCTGTTCGGCCGTCAGCCCAATATCCAATATGTGAACCTGAGTGGCAGAGCCTTCAACGATCGCTCCCAGGAGCCACAGACTCCAGTACTGTACAATTATCAGCCATTTGCCAGTCCAGAGCTTGTGTCCCGCACACGGGTTAAAGTTGTGCGACAGGGCGTGCCACGTCGGATTCTGGTTCGGAATCTGAAGTCCAGCCAGACTCAGATGACCAATGTGGAAACTTACAGGATTCCCGTTTTTGAGGACGACTGGCTGGTGAGCGGGTTATAAAACACGAATTAAATTGAGCTTTAACCCATTAGTATGACACCACATATTCGGAATAAAAAGACTTCATGGCTTGGGCTGATATTAATGTTTGTTCGACTGCTCCATAAGAAAACGTAAATATCTTCATTGATAACAAATAAAATGCAAATTTTAAACCAAAATATTTTATTGTCCTATACAGGGCTCTTTCGAAACTGTACACTATCGAATGGTTTACTGTATAGATTTTTAATAATTTAATCATAAGGAACAACAAAAAAGCGGTGAAAGGAAATTATTATTTACGGGACTTTGAAGTTGGGTATGGTATGGTATTTTTTTTTTATTTTAATGCACAACATTTGAAGAATATAGCGTTAAAATTTTAGATTGGTCCACGTAAAACTTCCGAAGTTATGGGCAGTTGAACGTAGGTGAATTAGCTTGTTTTGTATTCGATTTTTGGGTGTCTACAACTTTAAAACGCTCTCCTGAAAAGTTGCCATTTTAAAGTCGGTGAACACGATCCTGCAAAATCTACTGGACGAATTGTTTTGCACACTATTTCTGTACCTAAATCCGCAGGTACTGACATCGACTGTTCTTTTTTTAATAACTAATATATCGAGATTTTAAGATAAAATCACGTTTTTGACTTCAAAGTTTTACCAAAATTCCAAAAATTGAATAAAAATCTTAAGAAACATCTTAACTAATAAATAATTTTGTTTTTATCTGATGATCCAGTAACGAGTTAAGCTGTTCACCGCAAAACCTTTTTTCTTGGAGGCGCCTACGGAGCTTGGCTTCGCAGCTCATTTATTTTTTGTTTTCGAATAAAATTTGTGAAAACATAGTTTAAATCTTGTACTTTGATACGCTCAATTAATAATTGATCTGACATAAACCGTATCGTGTGACAAAATTCATGAAAATAGGCCTTTTTTGGCCGAATTAACCACCCCCACCACTTAATTTTCATACAAAACCAGCTGTATAAAGCCCTGGGGATGTGAGGCAGTGCTGATTATGATATTATGCCTACTTTTTTCATTAACCACACGAGGGGGCTCTAACTCTTGTCTTAGCTACTCGAGCAGCATTCACGTCAACAAAGCTCAGGCGGAATAAAAATCCCTTTTCAACCCGTATTATAGAAATTAATGGCAGCAGTATTACAAAGCTCAGGCTGCGTACAATCAGTTGAATGAACCGTTCGACCAATTTGGATCCTACGGACCCTATGGACATCACGGAAACCATGGTCACTGCTGTACCCATCACCAAGACCTCGACTGCGAAGACCACACTACGCCACTTCGTTATCACTATGAGCCCCGCCTGAAATCAGTCCCTACGATCTGCATCGCATCCATCTCAGGAATACCATATAATCAAGTTCAATTCGTGGCAAAAATGTAAAAAATTAAGGTTTTTAATACTCCATTATAACGGATATCGAACATTCGGAAACTGATTTTTGTAAATTTTGCTTAAAGATTTACAGTTTTAATTTCCAAGTGTAAAAATCAAAACAAAAAACCAGTTCGGTAGCAAAATTGATTTGTCTTTTCTGCTGATTCCGTTCCAATATGCCGATTGTAAACGAATTAAAAAGGTAAACAAAAACCAAGAAAAGAAAGAAACTTAGGACAGACGCGATCGATTTCTCCGATCGCGAACTTATTAATGAACCAAAATTAGCATTTACATATCGGTGCAGACATTTGCTAAATATGCAAGCCCAATGCCCAGGCAGTCTTAGTTCAAAGTCGAACGCGTTTCGATATGAAACAAATCGTATTTCTACTGTGTTTAGTGGCAGTGACCAGTATTCGAGCAGGTGCAGGTCCCCCGACCCCAGAGCCGGAACAAATCCGAACAGCTCTACCCTGGCTATATCTTTTGACATATGCGGCAGCCCAGCCGCAGGTCCCTATCCGCAGACCGCAAGATGAGACGTTTACCGGCACAAACAGTGCGATCATGAAGCAACCCCAGTCCGATGAGTTGGCGAACTCTCAACAGACAAGCGATTTGGTACGCGAGCAATTCCTGCAAGGAATTCTACAGGGATTACAGCAGTCAGGGGCTGAGGCGAGTGCACCTACAATTTCACCCGCTTTGCTGGCAGACTTTATTGCACAGGCCACCACAACAACGCAAAAACCGGCGGTTGAGAAAGATTTGACTGGGGCCGATAACGATGAGGACTACGACTACATAGACTTTAAGAACGGATCTCGCATTAAATATGAGTTGGACGAGGGTGAGCAGCCGGTAAACAAAATTCTTCAGGCGACTACAAGCCGTTCAGTTACAAATCGACCTCAAAGCTTTGCCAGTGCCGTCTATTATAGACCTCCAACTAGATACGTATACTATAGACCTATTTATACCCCTTCTTTATATTACAACCGAGTTGGCTAAGAAAATATGAAAAGTCAGAGAGGATCGATAGAGATAAATTATTCATTTATTAGCGATATCTTTCAATAAAGGCCCGTAAAATAGAACTTTCTTATTATGACAAGACATTAGTTTGCTAAGTTATGCGAAATAAGCTTTCAGTTCACTTCTGTGATTTCACTAACCAAAACAATAAAAATTCAAATTACCGATTGGCATCTATACCAAGCCCAATTCGAATTTTGATTTGACGGCCGAGTTCCAGTCCGGTCTTTTGCAAGGCCCAGAGAAAACCCAATTTATGACACCCGACAGACTGTATAAAACTCATCGCATTTAGGAGTCGTCACTTTAGTTCTGAACTAACCGGAGCACCGTAGAATCTCTCTTCAAAATGCTGATTAAAACCATAGGACTGCTGTTTCTGTTGACTGGTCAGGCTTGGAGTCAGTCCATAAGCTTTCCTGTTTACACCGTGGGAAGTATTGTCTCCGCCCTAACAGGAGGTGGTGGAGGAGGTGGAGGCGGTGGAAGCGGTGGAGGCGGTGGAGGAGGTGGTGGAGGTGGTTCTTCGAGCAGCAACAACAACAACGCTCAAGCTCAAGCAGCATACGCAGCCAATCTGAATGCATATTACTACCAGTTGCAGCAGTACAACCAAGCTCTGGCTTTCTACCAATATATTGCCTCTACCGCTAACAATGGACAGGCTCCTGGCACGAACACTGCAGCTCCTGGCACGAACACTGCAGCTCCTGGCACGAACACTACAGCTCCTGGCACGAACACTGCAGCTCCTAACACAACCACTACAACTACAACTACAACAACTACAACTACAGAAGCACCATCCACCTCCACCGCAGTGATACCCTCGAACACGAATACTACTTCAACGGCGACGTTAAACAACCGGTCTCGAACCACGCCACTGCCCTACCACTATGTTGCCAGCCCACTGATCAGTCCCTATGATCTGCACCGCATCGGTTCCAACCCCATTTATGTCAGTGGCTCCGCATCGGCGTCGTCTGGAGCTCAGTCCTCGCCAGTATATGTCCCACAAGAAAACATTTATCGTGGCGCACAACCATCTCCTTACTTTGTATACGGTGGAAAGAAATAGAATTCCGATAAAACGAAAAAGCTTTGGTGTAACTTACATATACGACAATTAATTTATTCAATAAAAACAAACAAAAGCAAACAATAAACTAATGGGCTTTCTTTCGCGAGATAATTGATTCCAAATCGAGGAATCAAGATTTTCAGAAGCGTAACTCACACCCCAAGCAGTTGCCGAGTGATTGGCTATGGCTTAATGGTAAAGCAAAGAACAAATTAGCATCAGCTGCTCCAAAAACGTTGTTCGTCTGCTTAAAACCTTCCCTTCGCTAAGGCCCGTGACTTAAAAGCTATAATAAGTTAAAATTAATGAAGTTAGTTCTGTCCAACCTATTGTTCGTGCATAGTGCCATTTTAATTTTACGACTTCTGTGGTCTGTATAAAACTCCAGGTGTCCAGCCGCAATCACATCAGTTCTAGGCTAACCAGAGCGCCGGCTTATCTCAGCTCGGAATGATATTAAATACCGTCAGCCTATTGCTTTTTCTAGCCAGTCTGGCTTGGGGGCAATCAATAAAAATAAGGATACCTGTGTGGGATGCTTCCACTTTGTTTACACGGCTCACAGGAATTAGTATCAACTCAGGAAACAATAATAGCCCAAGTACATCAAATAATAATCAGCAGGATAACGACTACAATAATTATCTGAACGACTATTACAACAATTATTGGGCAAACGCATACCAGAATCAAGCACCGTATGACCCTTATGGATATGGATATTTCGGTCCATATGGGCCCTATGACCCCAATCAGTTTCAACCGGAGACCACAACAACAGCTACAAACCCAACAACGGCGTCTACAACTACAACTGTAAGCCCAACAACGTCTACAGCGCTACCTGCATCCACTACGACAGAATCAACCACAACAACTACTACAAGCCCGTCAACGGAGTCCACAACTACAACTGTGAGCCCAACAACATCTACTGCGCTACCAGCATCCTCTACCACAGATTCAACCACTACAAACCCAACAACGGAGTCTACAACTACAACTGTGAGCCCAACAACATCTACTGCGCTACCAGCATCCTCTACGACAGATTCAACCACTACAAGCCCAACAACTGAGTCTACAACTACAACTGTAAGCCCAACAACGTCTACAGCGCTACCTGCATCCACTACGACAGAATCAACCACAACAACTACTACAAGCCCGTCAACGGAGTCCACAACTACAACTGTGAGCCCAACAACATCTACTGCGCTACCAGCATCCTCTACCACAGATTCAACCACTACAAACCCAACAACGGAGTCTACAACTACAACTGTGAGCCCAACAACGTCTACAGCGCTACCTGCATCCACTACGACAGATTCAACCACAACAACTACTACAAACCCGTCAACGGAGTCCACAACTACAACTGTGAGCCCAACAACGTCTACTGCGCTACCTGCATCCCCTACGACAGATTCAACCACTACAAACCCAACAACGGAGTCTACAACTACAACTGTGAGCCCAACAACATCTACTGCGCTACCAGCATCCTCTACGACAGATTCAACCACTACAAGCCCAACAACGGAGTCCACAACTACAACTGTGAGCCCAACAACATCTACTGCGCTACCAGCATCCTCTACGACAGATTCAACCACTACAAGCCCAACAACGGAGTCCACAACTACAACTGTGAGCCCAACAACGTCTACAGCGCTACCTGCATCCACTACGACAGATTCAACCACAACAACTACTACAAACCCGTCAACGGACTCCACAACTACAACTGTGCGCCCAACAACGTCTACTGCGCTACCTGCATCCACTACGACAGATTCAACCACAACAACTACTACAAGCCCGTCAACGGAGTCCACAACTACAACTGTGAGCCCAACAACATCTACTGCGCTACCAGCATCCTCTACGACAGATTCAACCACTACAAGCCCAACAACGGAGTCTACAACTACAACTGTAAGCCCAACAACGTCTACAGCGCTACCTGCATCCACTACGACAGAATCAAGCACAACAACTACTACAAGCCCGTCAACGGAGTCCACAACTACAACTGTGAGCCCAACAACATCTACTGCGCTACCAGCATCCTCTACCACAGATTCAACCACTACAAACCCAACAACGGAGTCTACAACTACAACTGTGAGCCCAACAACGTCTACAGCGCTACCTGCATCCACTACGACAGATTCAACCACAACAACTACTACAAACCCGTCAACGGAGTCCACAACTACAACTGTGAGCCCAACAACGTCTACTGCGCTACCTGCATCCCCTACGACAGATTCAACCACTACAAACCCAACAACGGAGTCTACAACTACAACTGTGAGCCCAACAACATCTACTGCGCTACCAGCATCCTCTACGACAGATTCAACCACTACAAGCCCAACAACGGAGTTCACAACTACAACTGTGAGCCCAACAACGTCTACAGCGCTACCTGCATCCACTACGACAGATTCAACCACAACAACTACTACAAACCCGTCAACGGAGTCCACAACTGCAACTGTGCGCCCAACAACGTCTACTGCGCTACCTGCATCCACTACGACAGATTCAACCACAACAACTACTACAAGCCCGTCAACGGAGTCCACAACTACAACTGTGAGCCCAACATCTACTGCGTTACCTGCATCCACTACGACAGATTCAACCACTACAAACCCACCAACGGAGTCTACAACTACAACTGTGAGCCCAACAACATCTACTGCGCTACCAGCATCCTCTACGACAGATTCAACCACTACAAGCCCAACAACGGAGTCCACAACTACAACTGTGAGTCCAACAACGTCTACAGCGCTACCTGCATCCACTACGACAGATTCAACCACAACAACTACTACAAGCCCGTCAACGGAGTCCACAACTACAACTGTGAGCCCAACATCTACTGCGTTACCTGCATCCACTACGACAGATTCAACCACTACAAACCCAACAACGGAGTCTACAACAACAACTGTGAGCCCAACAACATCTACTGCGCTACCAGCATCCTCTACGACAGATTCAACCACTACAAGCCCAACAACGGAGTCCACAACTACAACTGTAAGCCCAACAACGTCTACAGCGCTACCTGCATCCACTACGACAGATTCAACCACAACAACGACTACAAGCCCGTCAACGGAGTCAACAACTACAACTGTGAGCCCAACAACATCTACTGCGCTACCAGCATCCTCTACCACAGATTCAACCACTACAAACCCAACAACGGAGTCTACAACTACAACTGTGAGCCCAACAACATCTACTGCGCTACCAGCATCCTCTACGACAGATTCAACCACTACAAGCCCAACAACGGAGTCCACAACTACAACTGTGAGTCCAACAACGTCTACAGCGCTACCTGCATCCACTACGACAGATTCAACCACAACAACTACTACAAACCCGTCAACGGAGTCCACAACTACAACTGTGAGCCCAACAACGTCTACTGCGCTACCTGCATCCACTACGACAGATTCAACCACTACAAACCCAACAACGGAGTCTACAACTACAACTGTGAGCCCAACAACATCTACTGCGCTACCAGCATCCTCTACGACAGATTCAACCACTACAAGCCCAACAACGGAGTCCACAACTACAACTGTGAGCCCAACAACGTCTACAGCGCTACCTGCATCCACTACGACAGATTCAACCACAACAACTACTACAAACCCGTCAACGGACTCCACAACTACAACTGTGCGCCCAACAACGTCTACTGCGCTACCTGCTTCCACTACGACAGATTCAACCACAACAACTACTACAAGCCCGTCAACGGAGTCCACAACTACAACTGTGAGCCCAACATCTACTGCGTTACCTGCATCCACTACGACAGATTCAACCACTACAAACCCAACAACGGAGTCTACAACTACAACTGTGAGCCCAACAACATCTACAGCGCTACCTGCATCCACTGCGACAGAATCAACCACAACAACTACTACAAGCTCGTCAACGGAGTCCACAACTACAACTGTGAGCCCAACAACGTCTACAGCGCTACCTGCATCCACTACGACAGATTCAACCACAACAACTACTACAAACCCGTCAACGGACTCCACAACTACAACTGTGAGCCCAACAACGTCTACTGCGCTACCTGCATCCCCTACGACAGATTCAACCACTACAAACCCAACAACGGAGTCTACAACTACAACTGTGAGCCCAACAACATCTACTGCGCTACCAGCATCCTCTACGACAGATTCAACCACTACAAGCCCAACAACGGAGTCCACCACTATAACTGTGAGCCCAACATCTACTGCGTTACCTGCATCCACTACGACAGATTCAACCACAACAACTACTACAAGCCCGTCAACGGAGTCCACAACTACAACTGTGAGCCCAACATCTACTGCGTTACCTGCATCCACTACGACAGATTCAACCACTACAAACCCAACAACGGAGTCTACAACTACAACTGTGAGCCCAACAACATCTACTGCGCTACCAGCATCCTCTGCGACAGATTCAACCACTACAAGCCCAACAACGGAGTCCACAACTACAACTGTGCGCCCAACAACATCTACTGCGCTACCAGCATCCTCTACCACAGATTCAACCACTACAAACCCAACAACGGAGTCTACAACTACAACTGTGAGCCCAACAACATCTACTGCGCTACCAGCATCCTCTGCGACAGATTCAACCACTACAAGCCCAACAACGGAGTCCACAACTACAACTGTGAGCCCAACAACGTCTACAGCGCTACCTGCATCCACTACGACAGATTCAACCACAACAACTACTACAAACCCGTCAACGGACTCCACAACTACAACTGTGCGCCCAACAACGTCTACTGCGCTACCTGCATCCACTACGACAGATTCAACCACAACAACTACTACAAACCCGTCAACGGAGTCCACAACTACAACTGTGAGCCCAACATCTACTGCGTTACCTGCATCCACTACGACAGATTCAACCACTACAAACCCAACAACGGAGTCTACAACTACAACTGTGAGCCCAACAACATCTACAGCGCTACCTGCATCCACTGCGACAGAATCAACCACAACAACTACTACAAGCCCGTCAACGGAGTCCAAAACTACAACTGTGAGCCCAACAACATCTACTGCGTTACCTGCATCCACTACGACAGAGTCAACCACAAAAACTACTACAAACCCGTCAACGGAGTCCACAACTACAATTGTGAGCCCAACAACGTCTACTGCGTTACCTGCATCCACTACGACAGATTCAACCACAACAACTACTACAAGCCCGTCAACGGAGTCCACAACTACAACTGTGAGCCCAACAACATCTACTGCGCTACCAGCATCCTCTACGACTGATTCAACCACTACAAGCCCAACAACGGAGTCCACAACTACAACTGTGAGCCCAACAACGTCTACAGCGCTACCTGCATCCACTACGACAGATTCAACCACAACAAATACTACAAACCCGTCAACGGAGTCCACAATTACAACTGTGAGCCCAACAACGTCTACTGCGCTACCTGCATCCACTACGACAGATTCAACCACTACAAACCCAACAACGGAGTCTACAACTACAACTGTGAGCCCAACAACATCTACTGCGCTACCAGCATCCTCTACGACAGATTCAACCACTACAAGCCCAACAACGGAGTCCACAACTACAACTGTGAGCCCGACAACGTCTACAGCGCTACCTGCATCCACTACGACAGATTCAACCACAACAACTACTACAAACCCGTTAACGGAGTCCACAACTACAACTGTAAGCCCAACAATGTCTACTGCGCTACCTGCATCCACTACGACAGATTCAAACACAATAACCACTACAATCCCTACAATGCAATCCACAACCACAACTGTGAGCCCAACAACATCTACTGCGCTCCCAGCATCCACTACGACAGATTCAACAGCAACAACTACTACAAGCCCGTCAACGGAGTCCACAACTACAACTGTGAGCCCAACATCTACTGCGTTACCTGCATCCACTACGACAGATTCAACCACTACAAACCCAACAAAGGAGTCTACAACTACAACTGTGAGCCCAACAACATCTACAGCGCTACCTGCATCCACTGCGACATATTCAACCACAACAACTACTACAAGCCCGTCAACGGAGTCCACAACTACAACTGTGAGCCCAACAACGTCTACTGCGTTACCTGCATCCACTACGACAGATACAACCACAACAACTACCACAAGCCCGTCAACGGAGTCCACAACTACAACTGTGAGCCCAACAACATCTACTGCGCTTCCTGCATCCGCTACGACAGAGTCAACCACAACAACTACTACAAACCCAACAACGGAGACCACAACTACAACTGTGAGCCCAACAACTTCTACTACGCTTCCTGCATCCGCTACGACAGAGTCAACCACAACAACTACTACAAACCCAACAACGGAGACCACAACTACAACTGTGAGCCCAACAACATCTACTACGCTTCCAGCATCCACTACGAATGATTCAACCACAACAACTACTTCAACGCCGACAACGGAGTCAACAACTACAACTGTGAGCCCAACAACATCTACTGCGCTTCCTGCATCCATTTCCACAGATTCAAGCACAACAAGCACTTCAAACCCAACAACGGAGACCACAACTACAACTGTGAGCCCAACAACATCTACTACGCTCCCCGCATCCACTATCACAGATTCAACAACAACATCCACTACAAGCCCAGTAACATATTCAACGACAACTGTGAGCGCAACAACATCCACTGCGCTTCCTGCATCCACTACGACAGATTCAACCACAACAACCACTACAAGCCCAACAATCGAGTCCACAACTACAACTCTGAGCCCAACAACATCTACTGCGCTTCCTGCATCCACTATTACAGCTTCAACCACAACAACTACTAAAAACCCAACAACGGAATCCACAACTACAACTGTGAGCCCAATAACATCTACTGCGCTTCCTGCATCCACTTCCACAGATTCAACCACAACAACTTTTACAAACCCAACAACGGAGTCCACAACGACAACTGTCAGCCCAACAACATCTACTACGCTAGCTGCATCCACTACGACAGATTCAACCACTACAAACCCAACAACGGAGTCCACAACTACAACTGTGACCCCACCAACATCTACTGCGCTACCTGCATCCACTACGACAGATTCAACCAAAACAACCACTACAAGCCCAACAACGGAGTCCACAACTACAACTGTGAGCCCAACAACATCTACTTCGCTACCTGCATCCACTGCAACAGATTCAACCACAACATCCAGTACAATTTGCCTAAATTTTCCTCAACTTCCAATTTGTCAATCCGCTACGACGACGGTGAGCGCAACAACATCTACAGCGCTTCCTGCATCCACTATCACAGGTTCAACAACAACATCCACTACAAGCCCAACAACCGAGTCCACAACTACAACTGTGAGCCCAACAACATCTACTGCCCTTCCTGCATCCACTATTACAGATTCAACCACAACAACTACTAAAAACCCAACAACGGAATCCACAACTACAACTGTGAGCCCAATAACATCTACTGCGCTTCCTGCACCCACTTCCACAGATTCAACCACAACAACTTTTACAAACCCAACAACGGAGTCCACAACGACAACTGTCAGCCCAACAACATCTACTACGCTAGCTGCATCCACTACGACAGATTCAACCACTACAAACCCAACAACGGAGTCCACAACTACAACTGTGACCCCAACAACATCTACTGCGCTACCTGCATCCACTACGACAGATTCAACCACAACAACCACTACAAACCCAACAACGGAATCCACAACTACAACTGTGAGCCCAACAACATCTACTTCGTTACCTGCATCCACTGCAACAGATTCAACCACAACATCCAGTACAATTTGCCTAAATTTTCCTCAACTTCCAATTTGTCAATCCGCTACGACGACGTTGAGCGCAACAACATCTACAGCGCTTCCTGCATCCACTATCACAGGTTCAACAACAACATCCACTACAAGCCCAACAAAAGATTCCGCAACGACAACTGTGAGCCCAACAACATCCACTGCGCTTCCTGCTTCCACTACGACAGATTCAACCACAACAGCTACTACAAACCCAACAACGGAGTCCACAACGACAACTGTGAGCCCAACAACATCTACTACGCTACCTGCATCCACTACGACAGATTCAACCACAAACCCAACAACGGAGTCCACAACTACAACTGTGACCCCACCAACATCCACTGCGCTTCCTGCATCCACTACGACAGAGTCAACCACAACAACCACTACAAACCCAACAACGGAATCCACAACTACAACTGTGAGCCCAACAACATCTACTGCGTTACCTGCATCCACTACCACAGATTCAACCACAACAAGCACTACAAACCCAACAACGGAGTCCACAACTACAACTGGGAGCCCAACAACATCCACTGCGCTTCCTGCATCCACTACGACAGATTCAACCACAACAACTACTACAAACCCAACAACCGAGTCTACAACTACAACTGTGAGCCCAACAACATCTACAGCGCTTCCTGCATCCACTATCACAGATTCAACAACAACATCCACTACAAGCCCAACAACAGATTCCGCAACGACAACTTTGAGCCCAAAAACATCCACTGCGCTTCCTGCATCCACTATCACAGATTCAACAACAACATCCACTACAAGCCCAATAACAGATTCCACAACGACAACTGTGAGCCCAACAACTTCTACTGCGCTTCCCGCATCCACTACGACAGATTCAACCACTACAAACCCAACAACGGAGTCTACAACAACATCTACGCTAGCTGCATCCACTACCACAGATTCAACCACAGCAACCACTACAGACCCAACTACGGAGTCTACAACTACAACTGTGAGCCCAACAACATCTACTGCGCTGCCTGCATCCACTATCACAGATTCAATAACAACATTCACTACAAGCCCAACACCAGATTTCGCAACGACAACTGTGAGCCCAACAACTTCTACTGCCCTTCCTCCATCCAGGACGGCAGATTCAACCACTACAATTTGCTTAAGTTTTCCTCAACTTCCAATTTGTCAATCTCCTAAAGCGGTGAACATTAAGCAAAGTAAATCAGAAATGTCTGATATTAATGTGTCTGGTACTGTCTTTAAGCCAGAACAACAACTGGCAATTACGTCGATGCCTCAATCAGTGACATCGCTCTGTTTCTTTTTTCCTCGTCTGTGCTTAAAGCCGGAGGAGGCTCAATTCGTCCGTCTTACCGATGGTAATGGAAAACCCCTGTTGTTGATATCACCAGTCGAGGCACGATCCGCAAAAACTCAACAGCAACCAACCTTATGGCGTGTCATAAGTAGAGCGATTGGACAAGATGTAAAAACGATTCGATAAGCTATTTATAGCAACGGAATATATGTTTTTGTCTGAAGTGAACAACTGGCTATATGGGTTATGTTTTATTCACCTTTTTATAAATAAAAACATAATTTTTGTTGTACTCAATAATATCTACTGAATGAATATCGTGGAGGACCACACTACAAGATAAGATTAAATATAATTTGTATGTAGGATTGGTAAAGTTAGTTTAAGTTAATCACCCTATAATTAAGTCAGAAGTAACAGCAGAGTCCAGCTTTTGTATTTATCTTAAGTTTATTTTTTGAATAGCCGTATTTATTTAATCGAAGTTATAAAAAGACTTGGCTTGTTGATTAAAAGTAAAGGAGTCAGAAATGTCTCCATCTCAGCGTTAGGGACATCAGATCAGAATTTAAATGTTTGTGATTATACTCTCTTTATTCAGAAAAAAAAATAGGATTGGGCAATAAACTTTTAATTTTTGGTAAGTATTGACAAAGAGCAGTTAAAATTGGGATAGCGTTCAAAAAAACATCTCATTAGTTCGAGTACGAAATGTTACTGTCATTGGCAATTTTGTATTTCATAAACCATGTGACTAAAAGTATGTTAGCTTGTCGAAAACTTATATACCAAATTGTTTTTTTTTTTGGTTGATTGCTGGTTTTCTTTAATAAAAGTATAATTTTATCAGTGCCGAATACCAAAAAAACAGGAAGCCACAATTAGAAAGCAGCTTGTCTAACACTATGACTATGGAAAACAATCACCTAGCTAGTTTGACGATTGTATTAAATATAAAGCTCTTGGGTCGCCTATTGCTCTGGGGCAACATCAGTGGTTTTATTATTTTCTGATATGTCTATAAAAACGTTTTTAGAACTTGGTTGCAAGCTTAGTTTGGATTTAAGCATTAATGTAAGCATATCGATACGTAGCAATGATTTCATGGCTAGCGTTTTTTATATTAGTGGTCACAATACCAGTTTGGTGTGACAGTCAAAAGGAATCTTTCAGATTGAACATGCCACTCTGGGATGCGAGTGATCTTTACTCACGCTTATCCAACGCCTTTGGCGCTGCAAGTACTACACAATCACCGCAGGCGACCGTAGCTGCTCCTTGGGATGCTTTTTACAACGCCCTTATACAGGAAGCTTACAAGAAAAAGCAAGGAATGTATTCTGCCAGCGATCTGATACCTGTTGAACCTTTGCCTGTGCCTGTACCTGTACCAATGCCCCTCCCTCGTCCTCCTCGCCCACTGCGGCCTCTAAGGCCGCTAATTCCAAATAGGCCAAGACCCAGGCCAACCAGAAAACCCACTAGAAGAAGCACCACAACCAGACGGCCAACTAGAACTACCAGAAAAACCACAACCACTCAGAAAGCTACAACATCGACAACGAGTACTTCAAGCACTAGTGCGGTAAGCAGTTCAACAGTCGCACCTGCAACCAATTCAACGACAGAACAACCATCAACAACAGAAGTTTCTTCTACGACTGGAGGATCTTCTACCACAGGAGGATCTTCTACGACTGGAGGATCCTCTACGACTGGAGGATCTTCTACTACTGGAGGATCTTCTACGACTGGAGGATCTTCTACGACTGGAGGATCTTCTACTACTGGAGGATCTTCTACTACTGGAGGATCTTCTACTACTGGAGGATCTTCTACTACAGGCGGTTCTTCGACAACGGGAGGATCTTCTTCTTCATCTTACCGAATCAGAGCAAAAAAACTAAAAAAAACTACCACAGCCAATCCGCTCTATTCGTATCATAGTCAACTCCAGAGTAGTCCTGCTTCAACTCCGACGGTCCTTAGTTTAGAGGGTCAGCACACAACCACTGGCGACCTCCGCCCTGAGTTGCAACTAACAGTGCAATCAGCGCCTCAGTCTATGACGACGCTGTGCCACAACTATCCACGACTTTGTGCTAAGCCCGAGGAGGCGCAGTATGTACGGCTAACCGATGGATTTGGCAAGCCCATGCTTCTCATAACACCTGGAGGTGTGGCAAAACCTCCACTTCTCACGACAACCATATCACGTCCTTTTAACCTGGAGCCAAGACCCTCTGGTTTGCGGCCATCCCGACGAAAAAAACCATCCAGGAGTAAATATATTTACCGTTTGATCAAAAAAAGGAATAATCAATAATCAACCGTTACTGTTTTCTGTTTAAATAAATTAAAAATGCAAATTAAAAAACCATATTATAAAAGTTTAACGAGAATGTGGCCTTAGAATGACTGTTTACATAGTTTTTACATACAACTCCGAGAACATTTTTTATTTACAGCTAAACAAATAATTAAAAAGTTCTACTTGTACTAAATCGAAACCTGGGTATTATCCGCCTGATTCCCCAGCTTAATTTTTCTAATTTAACTACTTTACATTCATCAAAATTTCTCAGAAAATAATTTATTTTTAAAAAGTTGTTCAAAGAAAATGTTCAATTCATAGTTTTTAATGATCGGATGATTGTATCGGATCTTCTATTCTGCGGCTACAAATAGTAGACTACTTACTCTTGGAAACAATATCAGTGCAATACAATATATGCTCTCGTGTGTCGGCTTAGTGATTTTTTTTCCAGCAATGCAAAAATCCCGAAAGGAATTAATGAGAATGAAAATACTGGCTGCTGATAAGAGTGCCTCGCGCAGCATGAAGAACCCGTTACAGATCCGATCAAGTCAAAGACAGTCATACGAAATACAAAAATGATGTTAGAAAATAGAAAACATAAATTTCTTGCTAGATGACTGAGTCAAAGATTGTGGCACAAAAAAGCTCGTAGTCAATAAATTATGACGTTCTGAAAGGCATCAGTCTGAGACTAGCGTATCACAAAAATAGAGTTAATATAGCTAAGTAATGAGTTTAAGAAATGACCGATATAGTTTTAAAGTTTGTTGGCCTTTTATTTTATTGCGATCAGTGATTAATAATCCATTTCTGCAAGATGTTATGGAATATATAAAGGCGCTTATGACCACTCCACACCAGTCTGTTCTGTTACTGGGAGCATGCAACTGCTTAGAAGTACAATTATCTGGGTTTGGCTTTTCGCAGCTGGACCACAATGGCTTATTTCGTTGACCGCTGGCTTTCAGGTGCAAGTCCGTATACCCGTGTGGGATGTAGGAGGCATCATCTCCCGATTTACTGGTCTCACCAAGGGACATGGCATCGATCAGAAGAAGAAAGATCGACCCAACCATGAAGAGTATTGGCCGCCCTCATATGGATACTATGATCCACCACCCCCAATTTATCCTCCGCCGCCATACTACCCATATCCTCCGTATGTGCCACCAACCAATCCGCCGTGGCCAACAACTGAACCCCCTACGAATCCACCAACAAAGCTTCCAACTAAGGCACCTACTAAGTCACCAACTAAAGCACCAACTAAGCGACCAACTAAGCCATCAACAAAGCCAACAACTAAGCCAACAACTAAGCCATCAAAGAAGCCAACAACTAAGCCAACAACTAAGCCATCAAAGAAGCCAACAACTAAGCCAACAACTAAGCCATCAAAGAAGCCAACAACTAAGCCAACAACTAAGCCATCAAAGAAGCCAACAACTAAGCCAACAACTAAGCCATCAAAGAAGCCAACAACTAAGCCATCAAAGAAGCCAACAACTAAGCCAACAACTAAGCCATCAAAGAAGCCAACAACTAAGCCATCAAAGAAGCCATCAAAGAAGCCAACAACAAAGCCAACAACTAAGACAACCGAATCTCCAACCGATGGAACAACAGTTGTGACAACCGAGATAACAACAGACTCAACAACTGTTGTAACAACGGACGCAACAACTGAGAAGCCAACTGAGGCAACAACTGATGCACCAACTGAGGCAACAACGGAGGTAACAACTGAGGAACCAACTGAGGCACCAACTGAGGCAACAACTGAGGCAACAACTGAGGATCCTACTGAGGCACCAACGGATCCACCTTCCCGAGACCTCTGCTCAATGTACCACTATCTTCCAGAGTGTCAAAAAACTAAATCAGTGCACCTGAAAAACAATAAGTTAAGTAATGTAGTACATCCCGAAAAGAAACTCTCGATTGAAACCATGCCGCACTCGGTGACATCGCTTTGTTTCTACTATCCCCGTTTGTGTATGAAGCCCGAAGAAGCTCAATTCGTGAGATTGTCGGACGAGAATGGAAGGCCATTGCTCCTAATATCCCCAGTAGAAGGAAAACATTCGCAAACTTTATCCCAGAATAGACTGAACGGTAAAAAGATTTCTTAGATGATCGTGTCAATTTCTTTGCAATAAATGAATTTAAAAGTTAAAACAGAAGTACTTGCTGATTAATTCTATTATTAATGAATAAAGTTGGATTTACCCCATACATTTTCCTTTTTATTTTTTTATTTCAACACTCAGATAATCCTGTTTGGCTTTATTGAATGCCCTCTTCCACGTTTTGTATAACGAGCCTTAGAGACCCCAAATTATCTGTAAAAACTTGCGACTTTTAAAACTGAAATGAACATCATAGCGATTCACCTACTTTTCAGGTGAGCAAAATGGAACGGAAACCAATATTGTTGGCTTAAGACACCTGGATTAAACGTAAAAACTGATGCTCTGTCGTAAATCACATTGACTTAGCAGATACTTTATTTAAAGATCGGTTTTTAAAAATGTTTTAAATTGCGAATAAATATCAATTTATAATTATTGCTAATTATGAGCATTGATCCTTAAGAATACGTTATAGGACTGATATTTATTGTTTACCGGCCTTTGCTCTCTTATGGTTTTACATTATTGTAGCTTTATTTGAATCTAGTTAGAACTCTTATAATATACTATATAAAAGTATTGGTTATTAATTTGTTGCTTTAAAGCTAATCTTTTTTAGTTGTGTCAACCGATACACAGTGTGAAATCTGATCTAAACCTCTGCTTCTAATATCCAAAGTCACAATTTGTTCCTGTCATCGGTGCCGAGGGAATGACTTCGCTGCTGATGGTACCTGGTGGAAGAGGAAAGAGTCAGCTGCCCGGGGCGTGCAAGCAGTGGATGGTTGAGACCCACGCGAAGACCTGACTGGCGGAGACCATTAAAAGATCATATCTTACTGAGCCATGGAACACAGCTGATATACTCTCTGATAAATAAAGTTTTTAAAGTTTAAACTCCATATCGTTCACTCTTTGTTATGTCCAAAACACTTAAAATTTACAGATTGGAACTTTATTCACTGTTACTAGAAACAGCAGTGGCTATCAGTAATAGAAAAAAATATGGAATATAAATAAATAGTGATAAACTCTTTGAGAAATACAATCTTTGGAGCTGAAAATTCCACACCATACTTTCTATCTGAAACCCATTGGAACTTTATTCTCAATTCTTTTGACTTGACAAAGATGACAGCACTCGAAGCGAGTCTATTCAAGCAAACTGGTTTCAGTTGCCCCACTCCACTTGGCCATCTTTCCAAAACGACCAGTCCAAGTTCAGATTCCTGAGGAGGTGGTAGGTGAAGTAAAAATGTGCTCCGGCGAAGGCTTTCGAGCCTTGTTCCTGTTTTGCATTCTAGCTCGGTGGTGTGAAGCTGCCCCACTGCTCCAAGATGAGGCACTGCAGCAACTCGGGCAGCTGAATTTGACCCAGGCAAAGCTTATTGCAGACAACCCTTCCGTCAAGTGCAGCCTGACCCCGAATCTTTGCGACTGGCAACTGCATCTGTACGAGGGTCACGGATTTAGTGTGCCACTTGTCCAGGCAGTGGAAAGTCCCCCCACCCGAGCACCCTCGAAGGCTGGTCAAGAAATCTTTGGATTGGGCCACCAGGACGGTGGGGGACAGCATCAGCTGTTTATTTTGGCCGATATTGAGCCCAAGACGAGACGAAAATTGAGAAGAAAAAGAAAACTCCGGCGACGAGTCGCTCTTAATCACTTAAGTAAACAGAAATTTGTCTTACTGGTCGTTCAATAAATAACCGAAATGAATTTATATACATACTTTAATCATTTTTATTATCATCTCTCATTAAGACCAATCAATCAGCGCAAAGATTTATTTCGGCTGACTCACAGTTCGGAGGCAGTCAGTCTGTGAAAGACATTCCACAGCCATAAAAAAGATTCTGAGCTCATTAATGTCGGCTTGGTTCACGCTTTACCTGCCGTGAACTGTTTGGGCCGCGAATGGAAGCCGTCGAACCACTTTCAACTTTAACCTGTGACGGCTTGGGTCTAATGCCCGTTAAGCTGTCTACAAGTTATTTGACTAGAAGTATACCGTCGGGGTTCTGGCCTCCTCTATTTGTTTATTCAAATATGAATATATGGGTTTTTAAGTGCCCAGCCAAGCTTTTGTCTCTGATCAGGGGACTTTTAATTAAGTCATCTTTGTTGTCGCAGCATCCCTCATTGAATATAGACGTTGATGACTGTGAAATGATGATTATGATGATTAATAAAGGCAGTTATTTGAAATAAAAGTGAAAGTCGAAGCGGTGGCTAAAGAATAGGGGGAATCACCGAACTGGTTTAACAGTTTTCGTACAAAAATCAGTGAATACGCATAGTCCTTGTGAGCTTTATCAATCTTCGTTTTCCGTTTTATTATAAATCATTGTGACCATAAGCATCAAATGGCCACATACCCGACTTACTAGCTATTTGATCAGTACACCAAGTTGAGTCCCAGCGGAAATTCAATTCGCCGTCCGGTCGGACCCCCTATAAACACTAGTCCCGGAACCCCAAATACCCAAAGGGCCCGACCGCCGAAAACGCTGGCTTCACACATCATCCGTGGAACGCTCGTCATCGGCATCGTCGGCGATGGTATCATAAATCGTATTCAGAAATTTTCTAATTTCCGTATACGGGAGAATCTGCCACCAATTTGTCGTAGTTTCAATTTCCTCCTCCATTACTCCCGCGTTTGCAGGACGTCTCTGGGATCCCTGGCGACGTTTATCCTTGCCCTTACCCTTGCCCTTACCCTTGGTATTCGTTGTTAAGGGACGATGCGTGCTGATTTCCGGTGATTGTGTTTCCAATTCCTTCGCCGGTTGCTTCACCATCGATGGACCACGACTTGGTCTCAGGATGGGGTTAGTTTCTGGGGAAGGAGTGCCGGGAACCGGGCTAGTGACAACTCGGCTCGCTGTCATCTTTGTATCAGTTTCGTTGGACGCCTTTGCTCCTGTTGGCGTTTGCTTTCGCTTGGCCTTCGGACGGTGGGGTCGGGATCTGGTTTCGTCCTTCTTTTTCTTGCCGGAGTGAGCCTTTGTGCTCGTGTCACCGGCATTCTCAGCTGTCGGCCGGCTGACAGGCTGCTGCATTCCTGTCGATGCCATATCGATAATTGTCCCACTCGGGGCCATAGTTTTCTTCACACTTGTCAGGGATTCCCCCGCAGGAGCTGTCGTCGGGGCGTTTGAGGCTGAGGCATCTTCTTTACCGATTTTATCCTGTCCAGCTATGGCTTCGGTTTCTGCTGCATTGTTCTCGGGAAGCTCTGGCAGTGTCAGCTTTACCTTTAGCGGCTCCTGCTGCTCCTGCTGCTGCCTCTGGGCCATAACTTCCTCGACGACTGGTTTACGTTCATGGTCGGTGGCCAGGGTATTCAATTGCACTATCTTCTTGGCCCCTACACTTTGCACATGGAACTCGTTCGAGTATAAATTGTCCTGTGCGTGCAGACCCGAGTTCATTTGCAGCGGCATTAATTGCATGTTTATGGCCGGCTCCTCAATTGTTTGGTTCAGCTCACTGGCTCGGCTCTGCCCTGCCATCGGCAGGACCTCAACCTCCTCGTCGAGGTTCCTGTAGTGGGACCTCTGGTCAGCGGATCGACGACTGTGCTGGGAGATCTGCTGCAGCAGGTGGCCCATCGGGGGAGAATCCTGCGACGATCGACTGGATGTGGCCAGGCGACCGGCGAGGTTCATCCGCGGCTTGTTGTAGGCATAGACATCCACATTGAACACCCCGTGGGTGGGTGCTCTACGCCAATACCTGGCAGGAGTGGCTGCAGGGAAAGGTGGTCAAGGGTGAGCAATCACTGTACTTTCACTTAAACACCTGGACGGGGCTTACCTCTGGCCACAAGGGCCCAAGACTGGATTAGCAACAGCAGCAGTGGCAGCTTCATTCTGGCTAATACATATTTTAGGCGTTGGCTCCGGCTACGACTAAACCGATTTTGGACCACTCGACCAATTTTATGGCCATCCGATTTGGGTCAGTCCGCAACTAATTTGCATCGACGGTTCATGTTTGGCAATGTTCTAGGAATGTGAAAACACAGTGGACCCCGCTGAAGCTCAACACGATTAAAATCTAACATGTTATGGACATGGAATTTCGTCGAGATGACGGTCCACTGTTCTCGGTAACTGGTTTCCCTGAATCGATTCCGAGCAACGGCACTTTTGGCCTTTGCCAAGACACAATGGTTTAGTTTCGGCCCTGTCAATGGCCAAGTTAATGCCGTGCCATAAAATATTATTGTGTTGCCACCTTGGTCGAGCCTTGGCCAATTTGTGTTTTCGGTTGCTTGGTCAAAAGCAGCGAAAGTTGAAAGTTGTGCTTAGCATTACAATGCCCTGCTAATGGAAAGTAATTGCCAACGAATTCCGGAGAATGCAAAAAATCCGCATAATTGATTCTTGAATATTCTTAAATTCGTTTGAAACTCTTAATCATGTATGAAAATTTTTATAAATTCCCAGGCAGTTGATGAAAACCATCAGTGAGCTTGAAAATACAAGAATAGTAAAACTAGTATTAAATGTTTTACAAACAGAAAATGACATACTTTTTTTCTAATTGGCTTTACTAATTTTAAGCGATTCCATTCAACTAATTAAAAGGCATTAAATACTTCATTTATTGACAATGTAAATTAGCCTCTATAAAAGCAAATGAAATGAAAATTATTAATTTGGCATAACTAATATGCAAACAAACTATATTCAATAAAATATAATTATGTATGTATAAAGCACAGCGAAAACGTCTGCATTGTTCCGCGGAAAAGTAAATTTAATTCGAACAACCACTCGGGAAAGTGATTTATTTTAAAGAGCTTGTCAAAAACAGTTGACCAAGAGTCAGCAAGCAGCAAACAAACAGCGGGCAAACAAGCCAACCCGAGAACAGAACGACTGACAGTTTCCACTCGGAGCACTTAAGATAACTTTGAGACGAGCCAGTCCGGATTATGGGGGCGGCGGGGCGTGGTCGGCGGTCTGAGCCAAGCTGATGATGTCCACCACCAGTGGCAGATTTATGAAAACTGTTGACATTTAGTTCTTCGAACCGTAAATTCCGAGCGGCCTCAAGGCAGCGGAATTTACATTCGAACAATGCAGGCCGCAGAACCAGGAGCACGCTGCACAGGACATAATGCGAAAGGAATCGAAGCAGAGCAAAAGCGGCCAGCAGACGGGGAAATGTGAAAAAAGCCAGATGACAGGCGGCCAAGAAGGACAAAGCCAATTGTGCTGGCATGTGAAGGAAGGCCTGTAAGAGGCGAGTGCTGAAAAAAAGTGGTGAAATCGCTGGACGGCTCTATCCTTGATGCACTGAAAAAAAAGGTGTATAAGACTTCAGAATTTTCTTTCCTCTTTTATTTGATTAAATAGCCGCTTTTAACTTAGATTTATCAATATATATATAATAATATATAATATAACTATTGACCTTAGGACTTATAATATGTAATTAAACTCATAAAGATGAAGAAATTACATATTCAAACTAAAAAATTTCTCAGTGATAGAAACTCAATTCTGTGAAAGAACTAGGACTGTGTAGATATGCATGTACTAAAAAACAGCAAAAATCTCTTATATTAGAAGATCCCTTAGCCGACTTATTTCTTCAAAAGATTTAGATAAAGTAAGAAGACATTTTAAAATACATTTTAGTGTATTTATTTCTTTATTCCAGTGTAAGTTTTGACGTAACTCCGGTTTAAATGCAATTCGAATGGCGACGAATTTTATGTAAATATCTGGTATAATAAGGAAACTGTAGTGGTAATGCGATTGAAAAGAGGACGGACTTTATAAAAGGATAAACTTGGAAACAAATTGCATCGATGGGTGAAGTCGGAAAGTGTCAAAAGGAAGCAGTTGCAATACCAACCGTACACAATCTGAATTGGCACTTTTGATTCTTCATTCAAGTTGAGGGCATGGGAAAGAAGATGACACATCCGCTGACGTTCAAAAGCCTTGCATTGGACACTTGCCTTGCGAATCGGGAGGGGCTGCCGGAGCTGGCCTATGCAAATAAAAACAGGGATTGGACCAGCGAGTTAAGCGGATAGGCAGAATGAAGGAATACAAAACGGGGATAAACACTGAGAAAAAGCTACAGCAGAATGTGTTTTTTGTTTCAAGCTATAGATAAAGGATTCAAAAAAAAAAAAAAATTATATTTAAGCAAAGTTTATAATAGTACAGTAGGGTGTTCTGAAATATTACGATTAGACGGTGTTGGATTCAGCGTTTTTAGCCACATTTATATATTACATCATCATAATTGTAAGCCCTGACTGACTCACTCATTAATGTAAAAATTTCAAAAGTGTTATACTTTTATCGTCAGGATAGTTAATAAATAAATATACACTTTTTTTTTGCTTTTACACGAATAAGATTTTGAACTCCTAATCCCCCTCCTCACTCCCCACTTATACTTCTTTATCACCTTGATACACAAAGTGACAGATTGATATATTACCTATAGATGCTAATCAGATATGGCAAAAAATGGATTGATGACCAACTTTAAAGATATGTTTTCCGGTGTAGAGGGGAGTGGAGAATGGAGTTACTGTTGTCGACGTCTTAATTAAGCAGCTCAAACGGAAACAACAATTAGCCGAGCTGCGACTCGAGCGATGTTGATTGTTATTTCTGCAGTGTCCTGAGTGGCACTTGAGGAGAAAAGAGACAGAGAATGGAAGAG